AAAAACGTCCACTACCTACACAAATAAAACAACCAAAAAATCGAATAAAATAGATAACCAGAGTAGCAATGCTAAGTAGAAAAGTGCTAACGAAACCTTGTTTCATACCTGAGGAGCAGCAACAATGTGCAAATGAGTAACAAAGAGTTCATCCCTCTGCAAAAAACAAGAAAACGATTCAGTAACAAAGAAGAGGGAGAGGGTTTACAGAGAAAAAAATGAAAAGTGATGAAAAGTGAATGCGCGCGGTGTGCCTCGCGCTCTCTTATTCAAATTTGCGTCTTTTTTACGTCGGACCTGGTAGGGTGCGACGTAAATTGGACTTTTTACGTCAGACCTTCCCAGGTGCGACGTAGATTGGACTTTTTACGTCGGACCTTATCAGATGCGACGTAAAAAAGTTCGCAAAAATTACAAAAATGCCACCGCATTTTTTTTACGTCGGATTTTCGTATTTCCGACGTAAAAGGGGTGACGTAATATGCTTATTTTCTACTAGTGATATATCATCAACTAATCAACATCATTATAACTTAGAAGCATTTAATATTCATTATCATGGTAAAATTTACATTAGCCATGTCAATTGAACTTAGCAAATTTCAAACTTCGATTCACTTGAAACACCCAAAATTATATCCATTATAGGACTAGTCCAAAATTAGTTGTCTACCTTACACATATCAATAATCACTCTATCTCAAACACATCAACATTCTTCATCTTAAACAAATAATTGGTGTCATTTGTGATAATTTAGTCAAGTTATTCCTTCATCCAAAAATGTCCAATAACAAATGAAAAATAACTTGCGTCAATATTATTTTTAAATTCTATATTAAAAAATAAACTCACTCATTAGCTTTCAAAAAGATTTTGGACCTATTCAACTTTTACATTTATATATTGTAAGTTTGAGAAGGTATTTTCGATGAAATTTGTTTTATTACATTCTTTTTATCTGAACTAACAATCAACAAGATTTTTAACTTAAATATGTTTTCTCTCAAGGAATAATATCAGTGTAAACATGATTTTGATACTTGATTTCACCACTATCTCACATATATTTGATAATATCAATTTCAATAGTGAATAAATATTCAACAATTATTCAAATGAGTAATCTATACAAAACTAGATGAAATAGTAAAAAAAAAAGTAACTAACAAATAATGAAAAAGAAAAGAAATAACTACAAATTTATTAAAAAAAAGATGGTTCAAAATACATGCACAGAATTCTCGAAACCTTTAGCCATTAGTTAAAAGTCAACGATTTGGTATACAAAAGTATATATATCTGAAATGTTTCTTACCACTACTAATTACTTGGATTTGAGTTTTTATAGAAGATTTTTAAATGACGAACAAATAATATGAGCCATGCATGTGTAAAATGTTGTTTCATGTTTTGAATTTTTAGTAACTAACATTAACTACCTCAACCTCTTTATTCTAAAAACAAAAGAGTTATTTTGAGTATAACTCTATTAATTAATCCAAGCTTTTCTCAGAAGGTACCTTTACTCACCCCTTTAATTAGCATATTTCAAGAATTATCTTTCGTTGCTCAAAAATACCTCGTAGCAAAAGGTATACTAGAGAATAATATAATAGATTGATACATGAAATTTTTACATTAACAATAAAAAAAAATCACTTTTAATAAGAAAAATGATATAACTAACAATGTGTATATGTAAAATCATTTTATAACATTGTGCAAAAAGTAAACAAAACCACTTTAATGTTATTTTCTTGTCATAATGTGTTTATGGAAGAGTGATCAAGTTATGATACCAATATTTTTGTAGGTGCAAATTATAGGTATCTTTCACTATAAATAATTATGTTTGAGTCAAACAAAATCATTATAAATGTTAAAACTTTTCAACTATTTAACTTAGTTTCACACAAGAATTTCAAATTTGAGATCACTAATTAAAGTGAAAAAATTCATATAAGTTGATATAGTTGTAACAACAATGATTATGGTAAAGTTATTATTTTATTTAGTACAAATTAAATTTTGCAAATATAGCGATTAAAGTATAAATTCTTGTTTAATAGATGAAATTTACAAATTTTGTTAATTTTAAAAATATTTAAAGTTTCATTAAAAAATTAATTTAATGTATAATATTCGTTTTAAATATATTTTTAAAAATATGAAATTTAGTATAATATTAACAGTAAAATTCAATATAAACTTTTGCAGTCCAACTAAAAAAAAATATATATCCAAAATCCCTTCACCTTAAATTAATTATAGATTTATGGATAAAAAAATTATAGATTTTGAATTAAATTCCTAACATGAAACTAAACATGTAAAATTTTATCTAAAATAAAGTGAAGTAGTGTTTTAACGTCAAAGTGAAATCAAACATGCAATAAATAACTCATAAAGCATCATTATTACACAGATAAGTGAAAGCATCGTTTTCTTTTTTTTAATCATTGCGTGGAATATGAAGCTTTGTGATTGTGATTGCAACAAGTCGCAACCAATGGCTATAAATGTTGCTTATTTCTCGTGCGTTGCACAACCTTTATGTCACATGTCCTCTGCGTTTTTCATTAATAAAAACGATTCATGAGCTTGAACAAGAACACTTTTCTGAACGGGACAAGAATATTATAGCTATTGTGAATGATAATTTGAATTTCTCATGCCACCAACCAAATTCACAATTCGGTGCAAGAAACAGGTCAATAATTTGGACCATTACAATTAATAAATATAATTTATTTCGGTTGAACAAGACCAAAGAGGTGGGAACCAAAGTAGTGTGATCTTTATAGAAAAAATCCTGGATAATACTTGGGATATATCGAAGCTAACATATACTAAATTTGATTTTGATGAAAAAATAGTAAATTGAATGGATATGGAAGTGGTGACGTGTTGAAATTGAGGGAGGAGGGCCCATTCATGAATCTTCCGTCGTTACGGTTTGCTTTTCTCTTCATTTCAATTTCAATCTCTTTCCTCCACCTTTCTCTCAAACACACCCCAACTCTTTTCCGTCCCACCTTTCTTCTGCCCTTTAAATTTTTTATTTCAGGTAATGTTTCCTCATCTCTAACTTCATCACTCTTTTTGGTTCAAATTTTGTTTCATTTTATTCTCAATTTTCCTGTTGCCGTGGTTGCTAGTTCACTCATACAAAGTTTTTTTTTTTTTTTTTAATGGTTTGGGCATTTTTCTGTCCTTTTATTTTCAACCTTGATGTTTATTCTGATCCTAGGAAGTAGGAACTTATTGATTATTATTTTTTGTTTCAATTTTGTTTTTGTATAATTGTAACTCTAGTTCAAATTTATGATAAGTCCACTTGCATCATTTCTTTCATTTGGCCCTGATATGATATCCCCTCGTCACCAAATCAATAAAAATACCCCTTCTCGCTGATCACACTAGGCACAAATCTTGTTTGAAGCCTAAACTGATTTGAAAATTTTCATAACTGCCAGGCCGGGCCAGGTTTGAATGCTTCATTTTCTATTCAATAAAGGGATTCAAGTGAAGAGATCAATTCCTAAGTGAAGTATGATTGAAGGAAGATGTAGAGGATGGGCAGTGTGGTTTGTGTCTTGCATGCTGTTTTCTCTCTATGAATCATCTTTAGAATCAGGTTGACATCAAGTTCCCTGGCTTGTGGGTATATCTCCTCATCAAATTCTTGTAGCAAATATGAATTACTCATTCAGTGCCAATACTTGTGAGATAGTGGAAGCAAGGGAAGAGATCATTTCTGAGTTCAAAATAGATGAAAAGCCTGAGAGTAGTTGTGCCCACAAATCAAGAAAAAAGTATTCTATAGAGAATGATATCAATCGTCTCTTGCAGGCTATTGATATTAATAATTCAGCTAGAGTTCTTAATACACCATGTTCACAGAAGAGTGCTCTTAAAAAACCTATAAAAGCCACTCCATCTCAGGCATCAAGAATTGGTCTCTCGGAACCTGTAAGTTTAAAGCAGGCATTTAGAAGGCTGTGCATCTCACAGGCATCAGAAATGGCTGCATTGAAGCGACTATCAAAATCATCCCCTTCGTCAAGAGTATCAGAGGCTGGAACTATAAAAAACTTGTACACAACGTCACCAGTAGTAGACGAAAGACATGGGGTCTTGGTGGAACTCTCCCTTGTGCCAGAGATATCTAGTAGACCTTCTGATGATAAGTTGGCCAGCAATGAGATTCATGAGATATCAAATTCAAGTGCTCATCATTCTACTCCTTTTGTTAATGCAACAAACCCAAAAACAATGCCAACCAGATTATCACATCGAAGCCAAATTGTCCCTCTTTCATCAGAGATTCAGGGTGAGAAGCTAGTCACGAGGCTTGAAAAACAGGCACTAGCAGACTCATCATCTGCTTCCTGTCCTAGTAATGAAGTGCTGGAGTTGGAGATTAGACTCAAAACGCTCCCTGATTCCTCCAGCAAAGATTCTCTCAGTTCTTCATTGCCAGATAAGGGGGTGGAAGCAAAGTCAATTTCTCCATCCAGTTCTGGAACAGGTAATGGGGTGGATAAAGCCACAAGTAGTAATACATCATTGGCAAAGCCAATAGGGAATGACAAGAACTCTCTTAAGAAGGAAGTGAAGCAAGATTTATGTTCTTCATCGAGCTGCTCAAATCCATGCCCCAGAAAAGTTGGCAATGCTTTGGCTTCCAGCACAAGTAATTTGAACAACGTGAATAACAATTCTGATTCAAAGAATGAAATGAAGGTAAACGAGAAACTGTCCTTCAACCATTCAAACCATAGCATTGATGTTTACTCAGGTAATGTCAGGAAGGATTCAAGCAAACCTGGTTTCTGTTTGGCTAGCAATAAGAGAACTAGGTTTCCAGTAACAAAATTTGATGAGAAAACAATATCAAATGTAAAGAGTGAGTTCTCACAAAGTTCAAAAAGTAGCATTGGTGATTACCGTTGTAGTGGGCACAGACCTCACATGTCAAAACACACAAGATGGGAAGCAGTTCGTGTTATTATGCAGCATCATGGTAATTTAAGTGCAAGGAACTTCAAGCTGCTCAAGAGGCTTGGTCGTGGGGACATTGGAACTGTTTATCTTGCCCAACTGATTGGTACCAACAGCCTTTTTGCACTAAAAGTGGTGGAGAATGACTTTGTGGTAAACCAGAAGAAAATGCTCAGGGCCCAAACTGAAAGAGAGATTCTGCAGATGCTGGATCATCCGTTTCTTCCTACACTATATGCCCATATTGCAACGGATAAGCTCTCTTGCTTGGTTATGGAGTATTGTCCAGGTGGAGATCTACATGTGCTACGCCAGAGGCAACCATCTAAGAGTTTTTCAGAACAAGCTACCAGGTAAGACTCCTCCACTCTTTCTTCTTCATAAGTAGTTTGATCTCCTTTTCTCTTTTATTTGACTAAAACCTTGTCCAATGGCTCTTTTCATTTCGTTTGTTTAAGTTGCCTCGCGAAAATCTCTGCTTATCTCTGGTTGGTGCTTTATTCACCAAGCAAAAACCCTGACGTGTAGTGTAGGTAATATTAATTAATGAAAATTGTTGAACGCACACACATAAGTAGTATCTACTATCTGGTTTTAGTAGGATGATTTAGTGTTAAAGTGGAATGACATACATAGTCATCAACAAGGAGAAATAAGTCACATGAAGATGTTTAAAATTAGATTTTCATGGTCATGCACCGACAGTTTTGCACCATCAACCAATCAGATATAATATAACTATTGGTGTGGCTATATACTTATTTATTATAAAAGTCAATAATTTATCATAAATAGTGATTTGTAATTGGATGATAGTATGAAATTATTTTACACAGTGAGTGCATCATCACCTGTTTTCTCTTAAAATTATTGTTATTAAGCTGCATCTTGCCAAGATGCTATGATAGGCACGCTGTTGACAGAAAATTGACTCCCGTTGAGTTTACAAGGTATAATTTAAACATCCGTAGATGCTCTTTAAATGTGGTACTTAGTTGTTTGTTCAAGTGCAGTGTTTTTCTTGCTTCCCGCATGAAAAAATGGTATCATTGTCAAGTGGAGACAACTTTCTCACATTCTGCCACACGTGATGTTGTCATAACTACTATTCCACACATTTTCTGGACTTAATTCATGCAGGTTTTATGTTGCTGAAGTTCTCCTTGCCCTGGAGTATTTGCACATGCTAGGAGTTGTATATAGAGACCTCAAGCCAGAAAATATTCTGGTGCGAGAAGATGGCCACATCATGCTTACTGATTTTGACCTATCACTCAGATGTTGTGTCAATCCAATGTTGGTCAAGTCATCCTCACCAAATGTGAATCCAACAATGACGTCCAGTTCCTGTTCTGAGGCAAACTGCATGCACCCTTTCTGTCTCCAACCAGATTGGCATGTCTCCTGTACTCCTATTCTACTATCAGGTGGAGCAAAATCTCAAAAAGTTAAGGCTGAAATAGGTGGTCAGGTTGGTCCACTGCCACAGCTTGTAGTGGAGCCTACCAATGCTCGATCAAACTCGTTTGTTGGAACCTGTGAATATCTTGCTCCGGAAATCATAAAAGGTGAGGGTCATGGGAATGCTGTAGATTGGTGGACTTTAGGTATATTATTGTTTGAGCTTTTATATGGTAAAACTCCCTTTAAGGGCCATGCAAATGAAGATACATTAACCAATGTTGTGTCAAAGAGCCTTAAGTTCCCAGATAGTCCTATAGTGAGTTTTGGAGCAAGAGATTTGATGAGGCTATTGTTGATAAAAGATCCTGAAAGTCGATTAGGTTCTGTAAAAGGTGCTGCTGAAATAAGGCAGCATTCCTTCTTTGAAGGCCTCAACTGGGCTCTTATACGCTGTGCACCACCACCCGAGCTCCCCAAATTTCGTGATTTTGGAACTAGTCTTCAATCTATGGACAAAAAAGCCAACCATTTAGAGGCTACACAAGATTGTCAAGAGTTTGACCTGTTTTAGTTACTTAGATTACATGGGGTAGGGGATTGACTTGGTTTCAGAATATGTTGTCATCCATGTAACACTTGGGGCATGAATGTAACTCTCATACCCTGACTTACAGATAAATAAATGTTTATACTGGACTAGAAGTTGTAAATCCATGATTGGTTTGCCTGCTGCCCATTTCGATCTTTAATTGCTTGATATTATTAACGGGATACTTCTCTTATGTTGTGTCTCCTCTTTTGTTTGCCTACATGGTTATGAAGCCTTCAAACACTGCCATTTTTATATATTTATTTATTCATTTACAGTCTATTTTGTTTATTTAAACTTTGCTATATGCATTCACAGTTATGTCATGATTTGTTTAATATTAGAGCAAAAGCAATTAAATTTTTCTATAATCATTCACATCTTTGTTTGACAATGAGCAATTGAATCATTGGGTATAAACATATTCCATTTAAATGTTGTTGATAGCAAATAGTTGGTTGTATTAACTACATTCAACTATAAAATCATTTCATTTGAATTGAATTAAACTATAAGATAGTTAAGAAAAATTAAATTAAACTATTTTCTAATTTATTAAATTATAGTTTGAATTATATTATAATTTAAACTAAATTAAACTTTTCTATAGTCATTCATAATTACGCATTGAACAAATGAATTAATGAGTATAAATGTATTTCATTTTAACTATCGTTGATATTTAATAGTCTTAAATATACGATTGTATTAACTACATTAAGTAGTTTATTTGAATTGAACTAAAGTATAAAATAGTTCAAAAACATTAAACTAAACTATTTTCTAATTTAGTAAATTAGTTCTAATAGTTTGAACTATATTATGATTTAAATTAAACTAAAATATTTTTTATTATAAATTTAACTAAACTACATTATAAAAAAATATTTTAAATTAATTCTTATTATCAAACTTATACTAATAAACTAAATTGTGTCCAACACATATTAATTTGGAAAAATTAAATCTTTCAAGTGGTAAATTAACCAAAATCGTTTATCAGAAATCACTTACAAAAAATTAAGATAAAATAGTTCAATCACATAATAATTATGGAACCACTAATTGATGTTCCATCTACTTGAATTATATTTTGTATTGAATTAAACTATTTTTTACTTTAAATCAAACTTTTTCTTATAATTTGAACTTAACGAAAACAATTTTTGTAGTAATTTATTTTTTAAAACCAAATTAAGTTCAATTTAGTTTTTATAAAAAAAAATAGTTGAGCACTTTTTTATAATTTAGTTTAATTTAGTTTTCTAGTAGTTTAATTTAAAATAATTTTTGAACAGCCTTATCATCTAGTGAAGAATTTGTTTTAACTTAATCAATTCTCTCGAGTTTGAGTTATGTAAATATGTTGTTGTGTTAAATATTTAGAGAGAAAAACATGTGATCCATGAAAAATGTCATTTATTTTTTCTTTACATTTAACTAAAAACAATAAAAACGAATCATACATAGATAAGACAAATTAAAACCAAAAAACATGATTTAAAATTACTATAAAAATTTTCTTAAGTGTTAAATAATTTTATTTATAATTAATGTGTTTTAAAAACAAAGTTTAACTTTAATACATTATTGATACAATTAGATCAATTACAAATTTTCGTAAATATAATTTATCAAATAATTATTAAAAGATAATATTTTACTTATTCATGTTAATATATAATTGGATAAAAATATTTAAAAAATATATTTAAAATATATAATTTTATTTATAATAAAAATCATTACTTTTGCATATTAAATACAATGACTATGTAAAAATCATTATAACAAGTTTTTTTTTTTTTTTATAACTGTAGTACACTAAACTATATTTTATAGTAGTTCAATTTTTTATAGTTTAGTTTAATTTTAAAATAGTTTAGTTCAAAATAGTTTATAAGCACTCCCTCATTACAAAGACATGATGACAGGGAGAAAGTGTAGGGAGAGAAAGGTGAAATTAAAAGAAAGTAATAAATATGTCAATGATATTATGGAACGGTGCATAATTTAGAAATTAAAAGTAATACTATTGTAACAATTAAACGCAAAAGAAAAAGTGAGCACCAACTATACAATGGGCACAAGCAAAATAAGTAATTAAGTACCAGTTTGACTTGAAGGTGGTGTGACTCAGTGCATGTTTGGTTTTAAGATTTAAAAGCTCAAACCATACTTTGAGTAAAAGTTATTTTCTTGTCACCTTTTGCTCAAACCATGACATGTAGATTTCAAACTGAAAACCACACCCATCGCTAGTTGTCCACAGAGTTGCTTTGAATTACAAATAAGTGAAATAACGTGTTTTTGTTCTTTAATATTTTTTTAACATTCTATTATTAGCTGAAATAGGAAATTTCATGCATGCCAACAACTAGGAGTGAGTTCAAGATATTTAGAGGAGTCAAACAAAAGATAACATCGAATTGAAAAGAGTGTTGGATATCTATAAGTATATATATAAATTATAAAATACATTTGATAAAAAAAATCCCAAAATGAATTAATAATATGAACATATTTTATGGACATATGAGAGAGATATATGATGAGATCAATGTTTTATTATATATAGTAGTTTGCAACAATCAATTAAATATTTTTTAATTTATGTGCATGCAACATAAACTAGTTTGTATCGAAGTGAAAAAGAAGAGCCACGGGAAGTATGAAGAAGAGAAGAAATCAAAGGGGGTGTTTCGATGAGAAAAGAAATGGAGGTACAGGTTGGTGGAGAATGGAGATCTAGAGAAGAAGAGAGTGGGTCAGAAGAAAAGGATAAAATAATTTTTTAATTAAAATAAAAAGTTTGGGGTGTGAGAATAGAGAAAAATGGGGGTGGAGGTAAGAATAACATGACCCAAAACATGATCAACCGGTTGAGATGCTTCAAACGCAGTCCAAATCAACCCACTAATAATGGAAAATTTATGGGCCAGTACCCAAAAGATTTGGGCTGCAGTGTGCCTGAAAATGTGGGGCTATAGGGACCGAATGTCCTCTCTATGGCACCAATATGTGAGTCTAGTACGTGATATCAATATTCTCATCTCACCGTGTGTGGCATGCAGGACTCGATCTACTAATATTGTAGAAAAATCCCTTGTCTCGTTTCTAGCTTTTTTATTTCTTCTCTATTTGTTAATTTACAAATCTAGATAGGTCATATTTGTGAAACTCAAACACTATCGTCGACACTTAATTATAATACGTGAGATTCTTCAATCTTATTACAATTTCAAGAGAAATTTATTTTGATAACATACATAAATATAGAACTGCGCAACTATATATCTTTATCAGAAAAATGAAATTGTTGACTGACTAACTTTACGTCAATGATATAAAAGCGTGTCAACATGAATAGAAATAAGTTTAAAATTTTAATTAATAATTATTGTTAATTACAAGATCGATGCATGTCCGTAGATGTTTGGAAGTGGCTCCATTGGTAGGGGCGAAAAACACATGCAAACACTCTAGTGGCCACTGGCCAGTAAGTTTGTTAATTTAGAGTAATAATATCTGGTATATATGAAAGAATAATACGTGTCTCAAGTATAGTAGACATTGTGTAATTTACACGCCTATTATCAGAATCAGGGGGAAAAAGTCCATAATATATATATAGGAGTAGGTGATTTCAGAATAGAGCTATTATCAAGGTTTAATTGGGTGGTTGAGTTGCAAGATTTAAGTATGGAATGGTAGAGTTGTATGTGTCCTATGTCTTGAGAGTTGAGAGTTGAGACTATAAAATGGAGAGGAATAGGGGTGTATGATATTGATATAATATAGGATTGAGTTGTGAAGGAGTGTTTGGTACTCTGCAAATTGGAGACAGAAAAGAAAAGGAGTTGATGTGTGCTGCGCTGTAATTGGTTGGTTGGGTGTACTCTTTGCTTTCTCTTTCTCTTTCTCTGCTCACTCAGTCCTAAAGTTGGAGACAGCTAGCTAGCTAGCTACGCCTACCCCACCTGGCAGTGCCAGATCATATAAACACAAACACAAATCCTCTTCTTTACTTATATCACCACTTTGCCACTCCATCCCTTCATTTCCAATAACGTAAGGAAACTTTCATATTATGTAGAAAATCCACCAACCATCCTCGAGAAACTCAAATATAAGTATATGCAGCGACATGGTGAGTTAGTTTATATCCTAAGTCATGTATGTAGTAACCCAATTTTTTCTGCGAAATATCAATTTTTGTTTAAAAAAATAGCAAAAAAGATATATTTAAAAAAGAATAAAAAAGATAAAAATATAGAAGTCAAATGTAACACCTCATTTTTTATATTTTTATAGAGGGTAATTTAGTAATTTTCATATGATTAAGTAGTCCGGAACGAGCCGTTTCAACCTTCCAAAACTGGAACGGGCCGTTCCAACCTTCCAAAAAGATCTAAAATTTCTAGCCCAGAATGGGCCGTTCCCAAACTGGAATGGGCCGTTCCAACCTTCCAAAAAGATCTAAAATTTCTAGCCCAGAATGGGCCGTTCCCAAACTGGAATGGGCCGTTCCAACCTTCCAAAAAGATATAAAATTTCTAGCCCGGAACGGGCCGTTCCCAAACTGGAATGGGCCATTCCAACCTTCCAAAAAGACTTATAAATTCCAGCCCAGAACGGGCTGTTCATAAAAACTGGAACGGGTCGTTCCAACCTTCAAAAAAGACCTATAATTTTTAGCCCAGAACGGGCCATTCCCAAACGACCAAAGGACCTATAAATTCTATCTCAGAACGGGTCGTTCCGAAACTGGAACAGGCCGTTCTGAAAATGGCCGGTGTGAGTAAAATAGCATCCCCCGAACAGGCCGTTCCGGATTCAGAACGGGCCGTTCCGGTCCCTCCTGAAAGTCTATAAATAGTGGCCCTTCCCCTTCCCAAAAGACACCAATACACATACATCTCCACCTTGGACCAGAGGATACCCAGAGGAAGAGACCAACAAGTTACCACTTCTTAAGCGAAGAATAGTGAGTATATCGAACTCACTTTTTATTTATTTATTTATTTTTATTTTATTTTTTTATTAGTAATATCTGTTATTTTAAAAAGTTTATTTATCATCTTAAAGTCTTATTTAAATTCAAAATGTGATTAAATATCAAAATATAGTGTTACAATATTTAATATAAATATTTAAAATTATTGTATTAAAAATTTTATTTGG